AGGTATATTGACCTTGAATTGTTTAAAAATGCGTATGCTGTTGGCATACTAAATGATTTTAAAACCTTAAGACGGCGCATAGCAAAACGTTGCCGATCCCAGGTTTAGTATAATTGTCCTTTCGATTAATTTTCATTCAAACAATTTACAATTCGAATAAATGTTTTCGAACAATTTTCTCGATGCGAAATTTAAAGTTTGCCTTATAATTTTAGTTGCTCTACAAGTGCGACTTAAGTTAAATATATATATATATATATATGTCCGAGAAATTTTCATTCTATGAAAATTTCTCGGACATTCAGGCCGGTAAATGTTATTTAATACTGTTTATCATAAACAGAGCATTTGCTTAAATACTTGTATCTATAAAATAACAACGTTAAACATAAAAATATGTCTTTAATAAATAAATTGTCGGACCTTGTCCATTTCTTAATATATATATATATATATATATATATATCTTAATTATACGTTTCTAAAAAATCCTTGATTATAGGTTTATAAAATAATTTTATTAATTATAGGTTCAAAAAATGCGGTATTAATCAGAAAGATGTACTAAGCGTAGTTTAAATGTGGCACAATGACGCACCAAATGAAGATCAAACTTACTACAGAGTTGTACTGATCTAGCGAAACAAGCTTGTTAGCCATTACATCACGTCGAAGTGCTCTCCAGTATTAATTATAGCGATTTTCTAAGCGTAGCTTAGATGTGGCACAAAGCCGAATGTGTAGAGCACCAAGTGAGGATTGAACTTCCTGCTCAGTCGTAATTAATCTAGCTCGACAATATTGCTATTACATCACGTCGAAGCGTCCATAGTGATTTATTAAGCGTAGCTTAGAGATGGCACAAGGCCGAAAGTATGGAGCCTCTAATGAGGATAGAACTCAGTACTCATTCGTAATAGATCTAGAGAGACAAGCGTGCCATCGATTACATCACGTTGCTCACTGTCTAGTCAAGATAAGGCGGTCACTATTAATGGGCGAATGAAAATGAATGATTTGCATAATCATCTTTATTTATTTTTTTTATAACTGTTTTGCTATTCATTTCTGTTTTTTTATTATCTTTATAAAGGTTTTTTTGTTGATGACATTCATAATTAAATAGCTTAGTCATTTAAATAAAGGCAGTTTCACCTCTGAAAGTTGAAACATAAACTTTCAAATCACAGCTTGGGAACAAAGGGGAAATAAGCAATGTATAAAGGGAGGTAAACGATGTTGTATTTTTTAATAATATATTTTGAAAATCTTACCAATCTGTATTTTTGTCACTGAAATATTTCTTTTTTAAGTTTAGTTCATAAAAATAATGAAATAATGTGTTCGATTTCTGTTGTTTAATAGTCGATCTATTGTTTAATTTTATCGGATTTATTTAAAGAAAACGCAAACATTTTATACTTAAAAATGAATTAGATGATTAGATTGTTTTGTGGATAAAAAATATCAATGGGAAGATTCAATTTTTACGTTTTATTTAATAATTACTTTTAATGATTTTCTTATAATGAATACATTAAAATAATAAATATAAAGACTGTCGTATCGTGTTTTTTCTACGACACGTGATCAGTAGTCAACTTCATCCTTGTCTCTTTGTTTACTCTACCTTTATATCTCTTCTACTTAATATATGCAAATATGTACAATTCTATTTACCAATTCACTACACTTCCCTGGACCGAAGAGGATTAATTCCCTTGGCTTTTTCTACGACCTCTTTCCTCCTTCCGCCCCCTTGAGGTTTATGACCTGTTCTTTTTAATGGTGATCTTGGTCTCATTTAATCTTCTTCCGTGTCTGAGTACACTTCCGCTATCATCCATAGGCACGTCTTACATTGCATTGTACTGATTTGAATAACTCATCCTTTTTTTTTCTCTGTTAAGGTCTTCTTCCATCATGACGTCTTCCTCTTCGATCCAGGGTCTTAATTGGTCAGAATGAGCCATTCGGCTTTTTTCTTTCTTTGATATAATGTCCGTGTTATGTCTTCTTTGTATGATGAAATTAGCTCTCTCAGGACTTGCTACTTCGTATTTCTTATATCACAAACACAATAAATAATAAATAGATATTATATCAGATGTTTATATTTTATTATTAATGGGGTTTCTATTCGAAAACATAATATTCTCTTAATATCACGTTGGGTCTGCCAGTTAATGGATGTGCTATGCAAGAAGGGTACATTCCCAATTTCAGTTCCCCATTAAGGTTTTTATTATACCAATGATGTAGAAACATCATCATAGACGGACATGAAAGAAGAGAAATGACAAACATGCGTCGTTCTGAAAAGAGATTTTTATACTGTTACAAATATTTAGAATTGTTCTAATCAGAGAAAATATAACAGATGTAAAAAAAAAAAACCCAGCAAGAACTGTATAAATGGTGGAGAGATAATGTGTTTTACTTATAGTAATTCACAACGGGAATTCGAGCAGTTGGAGGATTCTCCTGTTTCTGGAAAAGACAAGTTAATATTTCCCAATGGAAATTCGACCGGGCCAGATTTATCATTTATGTCTCTGGTGAGGATATATTTCCGAAAGGGAAAACGGCTCTACGGGTTTGCGCACGGGAAGAGGATTTGCCTCGCCCATGCTAAAAAACAAAAAAAAAAAAAACAAAAACAAAAAAAAAAATAAGTAAATAAAATAGTCGGTTTGACTCCAGGAAGCGAACTAAACGAATGGCCACTTTCGTCACTCTACGAACTGACGTCCCTAAACGGCCGTCATGTGACGACTCACGAAACTTCATCTCAATCGAAGGTAGATAATCGTTACATTATAAATAAGTAGTATTTTATACATTAAAGTATTAAATAAATAAAAGAAAATATTATATATATATATATATATATATATATATATATATATATATATATATATATATATATATTTATATATTTATATATATGTATTATATTTTATTATAAGAGATTATAATAAAAACATTTTTAAATCACTATACAAAAGCTTTCATGTTTCAATACTATGATTGTAATTCTTCAGTCGATGGTAAGTAACTGGGGATTAAATGATTTTTAAGGAAACTTGAAAAAAAAATTGCATCTTTTCCGAGAGTTAAAGTAGGGGAACATAAGGTCAGAATTAAAAATAGACTTGTGGGTATGTCTTGATTAACCAATAATATTAGATCTACGTTAAATAGAAAAGTAAGCTCAGAGGCGATGGGTGAGTCATTTTTCATGTCATTATAAACCGGAACATAGACAGGCCATCATTGACAATTGAGGAATATGAGAGAGAGAGGAAATTAGAAAGTAAAGGCAATTTTGAAATAAAGGTGTAGTATGAAAGTTGTTTTACTTTTTATTTTACCATCTTATATTATGTAAATACGCTTGTAAACACACACATATATTTAAGAGGACCACATAATTTATAAATAAAATATTATTTATATTTTATATTATAAAGAAATATTAAAAACAAAATACAAATATATTTTTGCTTAATATTCGCTTTAAGACACCAATATATTTTTTCGAAAAATATTGGAGACGAATAATGAAAAGTAGACACATGAAGATATCTCGTTAGAGAGGGAAGAGCACCTCTCGCATTGGCTAATTACCAGGTAAGCATTCTTAATGAACCTTTAAAAAGTGGGCTTATGCGAAAGTTTTAAAGCAAATAAAATATATTTTTCTAAACTGAATAATTGAATTATAATTGCATTTTTTAAAATAAGGCAGCCCAATGTTACAATTATCTCCCCTGTTGGCTAACATTCTATGAAAGAAACTAATAATAGAAGCAAAGGAAAGTGACTACTAGACGTAGGGACTGGGAAATTTTTGAGTTCATATGTACGCGTATGTGCAACCTACATTTGAAAATATCCATGTCATACCCTGCTACCATAGGCGGCGGTAGTGTAAATATTGTAACTTTCAGACGATAAAATGGCCGCTTGATAAAATAAAGACCTTAGTCATAATAGGATTTTTCTCGTCTCGTTTGAATTACTTTGATTGTATATATCGCCTTTGGGAAATCTTTCTTTCGTTAGGAAAGTTGAAAGTGGAAGCAGGTGAAGAGGATTTGAAATGGTAGATCAATTTACAGTGTACGACGTGTGTATACGGAAAACAGGACCGTAAACATGTTTCAATTTTTTATGACAGTTCAATTTACAATGTAAATATAATACAAAAATGGACCCCGACTTTGTGTTACATTAACGACTCTGCCACACACACACACACACACACACACACACACACACACACACACTTATTACTAGAACAGAAAACTAAACAGAATAAATGTCTTCTTGCCTTCAATTTATAAAAATCATTGAGCATTAAGTTGTAACATTTTCTAAAATCGTCAGTGCCATTAATTTTCAACTTAATTTTTCGTTTTTCGTATTTTCCAAAACGTTAGCTTCTGAAAATTTATATACAGATAAATACTTAAGTACAGAGGCGGTCGGAAAAATGCCATCAAAAATAAACAATAATAAATAATGAGCAAAAGGTTAACAAACAACACTATAAAATAACTCCAAATAACCACATTCCGATCCACAATTATTCCTACACGATAGCATCTAGAATAATTTGAAATATAATCATTACCACCTACTATATATATATATATATATATATATATATATATATATATTAGTGTGTACAGCTTATATTTTGTATCATAAAGAAACAATAAATATATAAATAATTTATATAAGCACTTTGCAGGTTCTTTAAAACCTGAAAATATTTTTACATTTTAAGAATTTTATTTTTAGATAATAACGGTTTAGTGATACAGCTTTTACTAATTGACCCATAGCTAGGGGGAGAAGAGATGGATTTATACCTTTTCTGATGATATTTGCGCAAAAGAGAATTTAATGGGCTCAACTGGAATTGGGACTCGGCTCTGTGATTAAAATTTCAAACTTATTATCCATTATGCCTTTGGCATATCCAAGCTTAAAGCACCTGGTATTCCCAAGTGGTCACTCATCTAGGTACTTACCAGGCTCGACATTGCTTACCTTCGGTGATCGCACAGGAACTGGTGTTTCAACGTGATGTGGACATATCACTATATTAATTGAACTATATACTTAGTTCATGTCATGTTAACTGAAAAACACTTGTAAAAAAAAGAATTCGTGGATTTACCATATTACAAAATTCATATAAAAATTCTCACCTGAAATTTTGAACTTTAGCGTTGCGACTCGCACGTTCCGAGATTGTAAAACCGTCAATAAATAGCACATTCTTAAAAAAAACATCTTTCGGTCTACAAACAATTATTTCGTCTTCAAGTTTTAACTTTAAAGGAAAAAAATTACAGCCTGATGATGAAGACATGGATCTTCGAAAGTACTTGCTTAACTTAAAACAAATATACACTAGAAACATCTGACAACAGTTTTATAAATGAGGATCACATCATTCAATGGATTAACAGTATTTTAATGCATACATTATGTTCTACTAGCGAAGTGATTTCGCCCTTAATTGCATTAATATTGCTGATTGATTCTATGTATGATTATTTCTTTATATATATATATATATATATATATATATATATATATATATATATATATATATATATATATATATACATATATATACATATTTCCATGTTGACATTATGGAATAACGATATATAATTTATTATATATCAAGGACAATTTTAGGGGATTTTCTATATCGACAGTATGGGATAACGATATTTAAATTTTTGTTCAAGAACAATTTTAGGGGATTTTTTATATATAAAATTATACATTATTATCCCATACTGTCAATATAGATGATGAATTTCTGTATTTTGGTATTGAAACTATAGAAGAATAGTTCATGTTAGGTTTCTGTGCCTTTGACTAACTTCATTATCAATACAACAGAAATGAAATGAAATTCGTACTTTGTGTGCATCTTTGATAGGATTCGGAATATCAAGTTTTGAATATTTTGCATTGTAATGTTAGCGTGATATGCTTTGTTTTTGTGGTTTTGAAAGTCTGTAGTGTCACATGACCATGACATTCTGTATGTAGAATCTGAGATTTTAAATACATTTTCATAATTATATCGTATTTCTTTAAATTTTGGTTGTTTTGTAAGCTTGATGTATGTCAGTTATGTGTTCTCAAGGACACATGGCACAGTGGATAAAGGCGTTGGTTAGATCCAGTGACAGGACCCAAACAGTGTGAGTTCAATACCCGGTTAAGGCAGTGCATAACTTTCAGAGGTAAATTAGCAGGAGATAACTGATAACTGACATCCATCAAACATGGCACGTGGAATTAGAACAGTCTACCCCAGTGAGCGAAATAAAGGGTTCAGTTCAAAATTCCAACCACCTGAAGAAGGCCGGAGCGTACAACGGCCGAAACGTTGTGATAAATATGGCGACAAAGATGAGGACAATAGTCCGAATAAGGTAAATAATGTACATCATACCTCATCTCAGAAATATGGACAGACTTTGAAGGCTTTTCTTTTGCGTTTTCCCGAGGAAAGATACATTGATTTTGGAAATTCTTTCAAAATTCAAATATTTGTCGGATTTTAATAAAACTTTTAGGACATATTCAGAAATGAATGAAATTATTTTTGAATTTTTTCTTTTTAGAAAATTATGGTAAGTTGTTTTTTTTTGTTTTTTTTTTTTTACATATGTTACCATCCACATACTTAATTTCATGAAATTTCTAGAAATTAAATTTTTAAGTGAGGGGGGTATTTTTTTATTAGTTAAAAACAAGACTCTTTGGAGGAAGTAAATTATCAATTTCTTTTTTGTAAAACAGATACCCGTTTCATCGAAAATCTACTCTGAAATGTAAAATAAAAAATGAAATAAAACTATGACATTATTTAATTAGCTTTTAATTGCTTTCATAAATAAGTATATTATTATATATTACTGTCTGAAGAAATAAAATTTTTTCGATGAATAATGAATTTTTACAAGAATATTTTCATTTTTTTTTTTTTAATTATAATAATATAATAATTCAAAAATCGTTTAAAATTCTTCATTGCTTTCAAGAATGGTGATATCGTTAAGTAAGGAAATTTACGAAGCAAATTTGAAAAGCTCCTGACAGTCGTTTGTACACGAATATTTTTAAAATAATTTTTATTGAAAAAAAATATCTTTCCTAATTTCTACCTCTGGGAATCTATACATGATATAATCCTTAAAAAGGTCACGTGATTTAAGTGTCGTCTGACGCACTGCAATTATTTCACTTTTAATTCAGTTCTGTTTCGTCATGCAAATCATCCCTTCAAAATATCAAAAAAATTTTACTTTTCCTAATTGCTATTTCACTAAATATTTTTTTATTTTATGTATTCATACTTCAATTAATTAATTTTTTGTTTAATTCAATTAATTAATTTTTTTGTTTAAACTTAAGAACCTAGAAACGAAATACAAATTTCATAACGCTTCTGGAAAACTTAACTAAAAGGCAATAAAATATTAAATAATTGCTGAAAATATGTTAATTTGTAAAAACTAAAAAAAAAAAGAAAAAAGAAAATGCGTTCACTTAGTTTTCGTAAATATATCATTTCTGGTCATCCATCAGAGTTGTCATCACCTTAAGAGCTTCTCAATAAATCGATAAAGATCAAAGAAAGAGGAACCCATCGTTAAGAATTGCTTGCATATTGTTTTTTATGCTATAAATAAGTAATATTTATTTCAAATTAGATTAATTTAAATTTTAAATTTTCTAATTTTACTCAACATATTGCAAATCTATAATTTAATTCTTAAAGAATTTTAAACCCGATAAAATTGTTTGTTTACAAATTTCTTAAAAATTAAGCAAATGGCCGCTTTTAAGAAAATTTTTAAAAAATCGAGTGATTATTTGACATTCCAATTTATATAATTTCTATCTGAAATACACCAGAATACTTTACTTAATTGAAATAATAAATTTAATCATTTAGCTTTCAATTAAAACTAGAATTAAATCTTCAAAAATGCTTTTTCATTTTTAAAATTTAATTTTAAAACTTAGGTATCGACAATTCAGTGGAGGCACCTACTCTTAATATTAACATAAAGATTTTGACGATAAAACATTGTTTTTGTTAACTTTTGATGCATTTTCATCATGTATGCTCATATATATATATATATATATATATATATATATATATATATATATATATATATATATATATACAGGCTGTATAGATGGAATAAAATTCCGATAAACAAAAAAAAACTATTCTTAAAAGAGTGCTCAATGCAATGCAGAGCAAATAATATTTATTCAAAAATTATAACATAAACATGTTATAACATCATTACAAAATATCCATTTTGTTTCAACACTTCTGGTGTTTTGCTAAGATCATTTGACAAGACACCAGAAGTAAAGTGTGTGTGTGTGTGTGAAGATATTGTTGGATGTAACAGACAATAAAAACGGCTATGTTTTTAAACAACTTTTCTTGCCTTCAAACCAAGCGCTTTGCACTAAATGGATACTCATAACTGAATTTTCCATAGTTGAATTGGAAGAACATTTACTGGTACGTTCGACAATCCCGTTCTCTCAATTCAACTATGGACGACTCATTCACTGAATTCCATCTCCAGTGAGGCATTTGGTTTCATTGTATGTTGCATTCAACAAATATATGTCCGTGGCATCAAACACAATTTCGAGGAATTTAACCATGAATGAAAAATAACTTACCCTAACAACTAAAGCTGACGATCCGCTTCAAAATAGCTGCTTTTGTCATGTATGTAGCGATCTCAGAGAGGTGTCTTCTCATGAACAGTAGATTTAATAGACCTACTACAATCACTTCGTGCCCACTGTTCAAATTCTCCAAACGTTTCAGTAATACATTGTTTAAAAACTTCGAGGTTAAACATGAGCCTGAATTATAATGTATCTTGAACCAGAGATAAGAAAAAGAAAAGTATAGTCCTAAAACAGGTGCAAAAAATACAGAATTATCTTGAGCGACAGCGTAGATTTTCAAGCGATCATTGAATTTTTCATTGTCGTGTAATGTATTCAACAGCGTGGCTTGACCTCAGAATGGTTACATATGTGATCGAATGAGGTCAGATACGTAATGAAGTCACATGATTTATGTATACGTATAATTACACGGGCGTAATCATGGAAACGTATCACAAAGCGACTAGTGGTCTGCGGAAACAAGCAGAAACAGGAGCCTAAAATCTGTCTGGGTGATTAGACGAAATAGATTTCTTGTTTGACTTAAGAAAAAACATTATCCTTGGTTCGCTTCCCATTGTCTCTTCGACGACAGAGGCCTTTGTCATATTTTAGTAGTCCTTCCATTATCAGAAAACGTTCATTCTTTAAATATCATGTACCTTCAAAACATAGGCGATCATGGTTCTCCACATACTCCTTTTCTTTGATATGTACGAATTGCCATGGTTTCTTGGGAAATACAGTGGATTTGCTTTCCCTTGACTTCTGTACAGTTTTTAATACAGTGTATTTTCCTAAGAGTTTTGAAAGTTTGTACGTCTATTATCAACAAGAAGTCTGTTAATCACTTCAACACAACCTCATCTCCACAGCGAAAAACAGTAGGAATTTCGTTCCTCTCGGTTTAATTCTGACATTTTCACAGTCATTACAAACAGAATAGTTGAAGCACAAAATGAATTCATCACGAAATCAATTTGGACTCTCCGACAGGGTATAATGGTTAACAAGCTTGTTTTTTAAAACAATTACGACTGAGTAGTGAATTCGATCCTCACTGGGTGCCCCATACTTTCAGCATTGTACTACAACTAAATTACGCTTAGAAAATCACCACTGGGTACTTTGACGTGGTGTAATGTTTAGCACGATTGTCTCGCTTGAACAATTATAACTGAATAGTGAGTCCTTGGGTGCTCCATACATTCGGCCTTGTACCGCATCTAAGCTATGCATAGGAAGCCACTGAAAGCAATTGTTTTAGATCTCTCTAAGGCTTTTGACAAGTTGTGGTATATGGGGTTGCAACATAAACTCTCAAGCTTTTGTATCTCTGGAGGAGTCTTCGCCATTACACAATCCTTCCTCTCACAAAGGTCCATGAAGGTCGTCGTTAATCGCCGGTCTTCTGAAGCCGATATGAACAATGCAGGCGTTCCCCAAGGTTCTCTCCTCGGTCTTACCCACTTTCTGCTTTGTATTAGGGATCTGCGGAGAAACATTCACAGATCATTAGTAAATCTATATGCAGATTATACCACGGTTTATGGGTGCACCTTCAAAAATAATGATGACCAGAACCCGGCAGCGGATCTCTAATGTGATCCAGCTCAGTTAAAAATGGTTTTTAATAGTGAATACCTCCAAACCCAAGATAGTAAAGTTTCATCATTATCGAGCAAGCCCTGAATGTTCTCCCATAATGATGAACATCCTTATTCCCCATGAGGTTTCTTGTTTTCAGCGTCTATTGGAACTAAGGTTCACCTTTGACCTTAAATGGAATTAATATATACAATCCATAGCAATAAAATGCTGAAAAATTGTCGGTTCCTTGTACCACTTTAGGAAGTACCTGACTCCGCCTGCCATGCGCTATCTTTATCATATCAACCCCAAAATTGTTTATTGAGTATTGCTGCCATATCTGGGCTGGAACTAACCAGTCCTTACTTTTCGGTCTTGACAGAATTCCAAGGCGTTCACATTCCTTGTGATAAATTATTTTCTACCCTACATCCCGTTTCCCATAGACGAAAAGTCTCAAATCTATCACTACTCTATTACTAATTCCATGGCAAATGTTTAGACATGTTACATTCTCTATTTCCACCAGTTCAGACCTTCACAGCTAAAACATTGCATGTCCCACGTACATGAGGTCGGCTCATCCCAATTCCCTTCGTATCTCATTAGAAAGAAAAAAAAAGTTCCGCCCAAACAGTTTCTTTTCGGGAATCGTTACTTTGTAGAACAAAATGCGAAGGGTGGGGGTCTGCTCAGGATAATCATAACCTAACAATTCTAGCTTCAACCGTTATCTATCCCACATATCTTTATAATCTATAATATATAACCGTCTGCTTTGAGGGCCTTGTTGTGGATTCCGGGATGAAATCCGGTCTCAAATGAATGACAAACGCAGGAATGAAATATAGCAAATAAATGTATTGACGTAATAATACAATTGGTAATACGGTTAGTAGATCCAGAAATGCGGTTAGTAGCAATAATAATATATATATATACAGTCTAGGAAATTCAGTATCGAAGTATGACTTCCTTCTGAGTCTACGTGCTCGCAACTGTGACTCCTACAAAGCGGTTACCTCACACTCTCACTCTCTCACCCTATCACTTCCGGGTATTCACCGGCAGCAGTACAAGTCCACTTGTATGAAAAAGGGGTAGACCCCATAACAGGCCTTATATTGGGTAAACATTTAGAAAAAGAAACTACCATATCTGATGGGTCCTTTAGTTTTCCTTCAGATGTGCGTAACGTTTGCTGTGAAGTTTAATCATCTTCTATCAGGTCATCCCATAAGTTCTGTCCAAATTTTAACTTTTTGTTAAAATGAACGAAATTTAAAGAGTATTTTATAATGTCTAATGGAGCTGAACATTATTTTTATGCTTACATGCATTTAAACTGATCAAATTTTATTTCAGAGAACAATAAAATTAAATTTTGTTTGATTAAAACCCTGCTAACATGAAAGTACCCAAGAATCATTTGAGGCACATAATGCTTTATGAGTTCAAGAAAGGAAACTCAGCAGCCGAAGGGGCTAGAAACATTCACTCAGTTTATGGAGAGGGATGTGTGAATGAAAGAACTTGCAGAAGATGGTTTGCAAAATTCAGAGGTGGAGATTTCATCCATGAAGATGAAGATCGAACCGGACGTCCAGTTGAGTTTGATGAAAAGCTTCATGAAGCAGCCCTTGAAGAAAATCCTGCTTTATCAGTTGAGGAATTGGCAGTGGTTCTCAGTTCAAACCATACAACTGTTCATCGCATCTTCAACAACTTGGAAAAGTTCCTAAACTTGGAAAATGGGTGCCTCATGAATTGTCTGAAAACAACCTCAAATCCCGAGTTGACATCTGCTCTTTTCTCTATTCTCGTCAAATTGTTTCACCTTTTTGGGATAGACTTGTGACTGGCGACGAAAAATGGATCTTTTATCGAAATGTTAAGCGTCGTAGACAGTGGCTTGATAAAGAGGAAGGACCCCAGCCACAGCCGAGAAGGGAACTTCATGGGCAAAAGGTTCTACTTTCAATCTGGTGGGATCGCCAAGGAATAATCCAATTTGAATTCTTACCACCTAATGCAACAATTAATGCTCAAATATACTGTCAACAATTAGAGCGTTTGAACCAAGCTTTGAGGAAAAAAAGACCGGCTCTAGTGAATCGAAAAGGGGTGATGTTTCATCAGGACAATGCGCGACCTCACACAGCAAGAATCACGATACAAAAGATCGAAGAACTTGGTTGAGAGAAAATTCCTCATCCACCTTATTCTCCCGATCTTGCTCCTTCAGACTACCATTTGTTTCGTAGCTTACAGAATCATTTGGAAGAAACAGCTTTTGTAACACAGGAAGAGGTTAAAACTGACATTTGTCAGTTCTTCGAATCAAAGCAAAAAATAATTTTACACTAATAGAAGGAAGTTATAGATAACCAGGGAAAATACATTGTTGATTGAATCCGTAATTAAATGTAACATTTGGTCACTTGTTTTCTTTATTCAAAATTCGGACAGAACTTATGGGATGACCTGATATATGTCGTGTCCCTTTAGGACGTAGTAATCATGGCTCTCTACAATTCCTTGGGGGTTAATAGCTAGATAATAAACAATAAATGTATTAACAAGTCAATAAATAATCTACTTCATAAGGCAGATTCCAATTTAAAGAAATATAATGCAAAATTACTTCAACGTTACCACAAGCGAGGTGTGACAGAATTTCAACTCGGAACCTTAAAAGGATAATTTGCAGTTCAAACTCCGCGCTCAGTTTCTAATAAAAATTTTCCGAATAGTTCCATTTAGGTGTAAATGTAGATGCTTAATTCGAAAATAAAGAAATTTTGATAAAATCTACCGTTTTGAAGTTATCGACAATAAAAGTTCTGACTCATTTGCGTTGCGGTGTGTGAAATTGAAATTAATTATGCACCCCCAAGCGAACGGAAATGTAAATCCATACCCGATGGCGCTAACGCATCTTATTCATAGAATAAATTTATTAAGTCCACATTAACACGTAACCATTAACAATCATTTTTTCCGCATCTGTAATGAATTTCTATAGCTCAATTATTTATCAATTATATAGACGGATGCATTTTTGGTTTAAAAAGAAAGTAATGTATTAAGCATTGAAAGTGTATTCATTTTGAATTGTTCTACAGTAAATTTACATCAGAACCAGACAACGTATCTCCTTTCCTCGCAAAATTGCGACTAATTCAGTGTAGTATAATTTAAAGCAATAAAGATAAAATAGTGATAAGATAAATGAAATAGGCTCAGTTTGACAACTAGATACGTCAGATGTCAAATATTAAATTCGAAGGCTGAACGTTTATATCATTAACGCTTCGACATCACTGAGATCTTTTTTCTTCGCTTTCAATGCATAATATAGAGATTGAATGTCAAAACTTATTTTTTTTTGCTTAGTGCTTTTTTTTTGCATTTGCAGGTTATTTAATGCCGAAATTAAATATTTTGTACACAATTTTATTTTTGGAAATAATAATGGTTTAGTGACACAAGTCTTAATAATTAACCCATAGCTGGGGGAGAATAGGTGTATTAATACCTTTCTCAAGGGTATTTGCGCCTAAGTGAATATAACGAACCCAACTGGAATTGAAACTCAGCTCTCCGATTAACCGTTTCGCGCCATTAGTCATTACACCTCCCGCACAACCAAACTTACAACACCCGATATTCTCAAGTGATCACCCATCATGGTACTGACCAGGCTTGACATTGCTTAACTTCGCTGATCGTACGGGAACCGGTGTTTCAATTTCTTAAAAACAAATGTTATGCTATAAAGTACGATGCATGCCTGTTAGGGTGGTGGCTAGCTAGCCTGTGGTGACAGAGCAAACCCGTGGTTTATATTACAGCTATGCTGAGCGGACCTTAGTTACCATTTCTGGGAAAGAGAGCATAACGTGACGTAATTAACAATTTGAATAAGGCCAGTACGCTCAAACCCTTTATCACGATGTCTTGTGACTTCGTTCTAGCACAACCAAATATGGACTGTTTCTGAACAATTTCGTGTACCCAATTTTACCCAAAAGGCTTGGTATTATTTCCAGGCTCTTTCTAATGGTGTTGCACTCTAGGATCGCCTCCTCCAAATCAATCATGATGAAATTGAAGCCAAGGTCTCATGGCTGAAAGGTTAACGTTCAAACACCTCGACCACAACTACAAGCACAATATTATATGCTGGTTAATCAACAATTTAATGAAGCAATGGAACGGATCAGTAAGTGGGAAGGACAAAAAAAAAAATACTGCAAACATCTATAAGTCTACCACACGTCCATGCTTAGAATATTGCTGCCACAAATGTTCCAGTGCCCACGCTATTTACCTTTAGCTCTTTGATAAAATCTAAAGCAGAATCAGCAATATTATTGACCCTGATCTGTCGTCTCGGCTTCAGTCACTTCCCCACCGTAAAGTTGCTTCTGTGTGTGTGTTTTTTTCTATAAATACTTTCATGGTAATTGTTCGGATGAGCTCTTTGCTATGGTACCTAGATTCTATGAATTTAAGCGAGTAACATATTAGCCCACGTTGCCCACGTTGCCCACGTTGCCCACATGAAGGAGCAGCTGGCAATGTGACGTTATGATCAAAACAATAATTTCAGGAACTTGTCTACGCATAAGACTCTACCTTGTTTCTTTGTATCTAGATCTCATCAATTTACAATTGAGCTGTCTAGATGTAACCGTAAGTTTTACGCTAACAGTTTCTTTTCTCGCACTTATCGCTTGTGGAACTCCCTTCAGGCTCCATTTTTTCCACCCGGCTTTAATCTGCAAAAATATAAATGCAATGTCAATCGCTATCTACTGTCTTCTTTTTCCCGCTCATTATTAATGTTTCTTTTCTTAATTCTCCCACACCCTGTAATCCCTTGTGTCTTAGTGGCTTTACTGCCTTGCATGGGGTGATAACTATTTAAAAGCAAAGATTGCTAAGAGCTGTAAAGGATAGGAAGTTGTCGAGTGACATGAACGCCCACATCTTGAAGGGACACAGAACATAAAAACAGATATGCTGTTTAATGATGACTTTTTGTGTTGTTTGGTGAGGAATGAACCCAATAGTTGACTAACCGTACTTCTTTTTATATGTCGTGTCTTTTCAAGACGTAGGCGATTATGGCCCTCCACTTCCTCCTATCCCTTGTAGCTCTCAATAAGTTTCGTCCATCTGCCACCTCCCCTAGACCACGTTCTGTCATTCACTTGCTCAAGCCCGTCAGGTATGTCATGCGTTACTCCAGCTCCCTCTTCCTGATGTTAAGTATAAGCCTCCTCCTTGTTTGCATCCTCTCCAAGACATCATCATTACTCAAACGCTCGGTCCATGATATCCTCAGCATCCTTCTGTAGAACTACATTTCCTTCGCCTTGAGTCTCTTCTTCATCTTTGAGGAGACCGTCCAACATTCGTTGTCATAAAGGGGGACAGATGTCACATAACAGCTCAGTACTCTTTTCTTTGTTACCAAAGAAATCCTCCTGTCTCACAATACTCTTCCCAGTTTTTGGAATGCGTCCTTGGCCGTCCCAATACGTCTACAGATCTCAGTGACGCACTTACTGTCCTCTGTCAAAACACTTCCCAGGTATTTAAACTTCCGCACCTGCTTGATTTTAATGTCCCCGACCTGCAAATTGCATTTCGGGCTCATCCTTTTACTGATAACCATGCATTCTGTCTTCTTGTAGTTTATGCTTAGTCCTTTCTTCTCGCTGTTCTTCGCTACCTTCTGTAGAAGGTTTTGTAACTTCTTTTCCGTGTCTTCTATCAGTACTGTGTCATCTGTGTATCTTATGTTGTGAAGATTGATGGCCGCCGATGCTGAATCCCGGTAGGATTTCCAATTTTTTCAGAATTGCCTCGCTAATTCCTCACTGAGTAACAAATTAGCCCACGTTGCCCACTTTGCCCACGTTGCCCACATCAAGGAGCAGCCTGCAATGTGACGTTCTCATAAAAAAAAAACAATTTCAGAAACTTGTCTACGCATTAGACTCGACCTCGTTTTTCAAGTCAGTGTAATGAAATTTAATCTTTACCCCAGATATATACTTTACACAGAAGTGACATAGATATGCTTGTTTGTTTTTTTAAGATAACAGATATATCGAAATATGCGTAAGAAACGGTTCGTGTACGGTCGTTAATATATAATATCTACATGCGACTTCTCGTATCCGAGTACGCCAGTTTCTTCAACACCCACAGAGCTCACTTTAACCCTAAAACACTAACCATGGGTATATAGTACCCAGCGCAAATTTTCCTATTTTAATTACAATTTTCAGTACCTGATTTTCTTACCTAAATAATGTTTTTCAGTTCCTATTAATGTTAACTCAAAGTACAAAGGTTGAAGAGCCTTCATGTGAAATATTTCAAATAAATACTTATATTTAGTATTTATTTTGATATTTTCAAAATCGGGTATGATATACCCATGGTTAGTAGTGGTGTAATTTTAATTGATGGTTAGTGTTCTAGGGTTAAAAATGTTGAGCGGACATTATAATTACAATTTCACTAAACTTTTCAGTAATACGTTGTTTAAAGACTTAGAGGTTAAACATGAGCATGAATCATATATATAATTACATGCTCATATACCTACATGTAACACACACACACACATATATATATATATATATATATATATATATATATATATATATATATATATATATATATATATATAAAAAATTTAAAAAACTAACAATTTAACTATTTGTCAAAAAAAGGTTATTTGAATAAAAAGTGTTTAATGCAAATTCAAATGCCGAAAATATAATCTAACCGATTTCATTTATGTTGTTTTATTTCCATCACTTTTGTCAGTAGATATCCTACACCTTAAGACCTGCCAGGAATGGTGAAATGTTGTAAAAGCCAGAACACAATTTTACCATGGATAGCCTTGTGACCAATTCACTCTATAAGCATTTTCCTCTTAGTGAATTGTTTTCTCATTTGATCATAGTAACTGAGTATATATATATATATATATATATATATATATATATATATATATATATATATATAGGTATCGACCATTTAGTGTTTGATGTAATATAATAGTGCTATAAAGTATATATTGAAAAATATACATATTGATTTGTAGCACGACTCGGAGTTCCATGAAACACCGAGTCGTGCTACCGGTGATACCTTTTTAAGTATAAGGTCTGATAAATTGGGTCCGTTTTTACGATTCTCATGAAATAACTTATTACCACATGAAGTTTTAGTGTTTGTGCCTTTTTTATAATAATAATTATTGCTCTGTTTCTAAAAAGAGCTCTTTGGAAATATCCATACTTATCACTAATATTATATATATATATATATATATATATATATATATATATATATATATATAAATTAAATATCATCAGCCTGTTACTTCTACACCGTGGATTTCTATGTGTATTATTTCGTTGATTATATATATATATATATATATATATATATATATATATATATATATATATAGAGAGAGAGAGAGAGAGAGAGAGAGAGAGAGAGAGAGAGAGAGAAATAATTAGGAGGATATGAAATAATATTAATTATGATTATTTCAAATCAAAAGTCTATCGAGCCTAGAAGAAACCTCAACAGAATGCAGAAAGCACTGGACGGCCGTTTCGTCCTATATTTGGGACTCATCAGCAGTACGCATCCACTACCGAGTATTGAAACTCGAATGATAGGAGGATAACGCCATACCAACTGTACCAACGGGCCTCGGTGACGGGATTAGACTCGATATAGCGCCGCGAAAAGTCTGTTTCTCAGTGTGGCTAGACGTCCGATTGCTTCAAGCCTAGCCTGAAACTAGAGTGATTTGATATCACTCAGATATCTTACCCCTCAGCCACCGTCGCACAGCAAAAAAGACGTTTTTCTCTCTACGAAATAGAGCGGATCCGAGGACTCAATTCATTCATGAAGAGTAATAGCAGCGGGAGCCGTTGTTTTTTGTTTTTTTTAACCCCTTTCCCTAGAGAGCTCAATCGGATTTCCGGGAGCATATATAGCCATCCACAGATGGACTGTTTCGCTGTATCACAGCTCCTCAGTGTGGCTTTGACGTCCGATATATTAAAAACTTATCAAAAATTAGGAAATCAGCCAATTACGTTACCATGGTTTCAACAATTCGGTATTCTCAAGCGATATAGTGTCGGACTCATCTTAATATTTTCCAGTTTACAATCGGTTCTTTGTTATTTTTTTTCTTTTAATTCCCACACATAACTGCTTAGTCTGGTACAATTGCTAAGACCTGGCGATTTGTCTATTTATTGTAGCTTCCAAATTACTGGTACAGTAACAGCTTAATTTAACTGTATTTTTATTAAAGATCTTGTGTAATTCAGAATTTTTAAGGAAGTGTTTAATAAGCAATTTAAATATGTTCCTCTTTTACATTTTATCTCTAAATCAAAAGGGAGGGGGATTAAACCAAATGATTTTTTTCCTCGAAATATTCTTCATTTGTTGTTTTATTTGAGGTTTTAATTCCAATTTAGTTTTATGCCCCTCTTCTTTAAAAGCCTTTTCATACTCTTTCTTTTTTTCATCGAAAATTATTTTATATGAGGAATTTCTAGATAACCTACACTCTATTCCTTTAAAGGTCTGCTTAATTATACTCGCGTAGTAGTTAGATGCAGCTTTCCTCTACTTCAAATTCATGTTGGGTTTCATGTATGGAGAGACACTGCTAGTTTGTCG